AAAACCCTGGATCAACCAAGCAAAATGGAAAAATTATTTGAATTAAAATGCATTTTCTCTGTAAACAATACCAAAAGCTCATGGAACAATTGTGTCATTTTATATTCTGTAGGTAAATTAAACAAAACAAAAAGTGATAGTGAAGATTGTCTGAGGATGCTAGACTTTAAGGTACATTTTTAATTAAAAGGAAAACCAAAACTGTGATGCAGCATCATAAAGCAGATAATTTTACAGCTGGATGGTCTCCCTCTGATGTACCTGAAAACCATTTTCAAGCAACATAAAGTTTAACATACCAGTACATCTGCCTACCCACTAGATTCTACATGGAATTTAATATTTAATTATATTAAAGTATTGTTACAGTGCACATAGCAAGAATGCTAACCAAGGAGAATTTTAAGAAAAATCCTTGGCAGATTTTTTTTAAATCTAGGTTTCTCGGGACTCAAAGATCATCTTAACACCTGGATCTGCAGAAATCCAATTCGGATCTGAAAAGTTTATCCACATATACACTGTTTCTTGGGACAAAGCCTCCTTCTTTGTGCCTTATCACGCTCCAAAACCATGGAAGCTGTACACTGATACAGTTTGGAATACATACAGGGCAACAGTAATGTTCAGAGCTGGGTGAAAAAATCCTCAGCGCCAACAAACCAAGAGAGATCAGATTTGAGAATCTGTGCTCGCACCTTGCAGTGTGCAAGTAAAACTATTTCCCCATGCTTATTTCCCCCCACACACACAGTTCCTCACATCTCCTTGTCAATTGCTGGAAATGGGCCATTTTCATTACCACTACAAACAGTTCTTTTTCTCTCTTGCTGATAATAGCTCACCTTAACTGATCACTCTCCTTATAGCGTGTATGGTAACACCCATTGTTTCATGTTCTTTGTGTATTTATATATTGTATTTTCCACTACATGCATCCGATGAAGTGGGCTGTAGCCCACGAAAGCTTATGCTCAAATAAATTTGTTAGTTTCTAAGGTACCACAAGTACTCCTGTTCTTTTTGCGTATACAGACTAACACGGCTGCTACTCTGAAACCGGTCAAGATACAGGAGTTTATCACCAGATTTCTGCTTCAGGAACAAAAACTAACCCTAATAAAAAATACCTACTGACAGCATTAAAGGCAAAATTTACTAATAAGTGAATCCATAGAAACAGAGATTTTAAGGTCAGAAAGAACCATTATGCTCTCTAGACTGACCTCCTGCATAATGCGTTACCTAGGGAGGTGGTGGAGTCTCCTTCCTTGGAGGTTTTCAAGGCCCGGCTTGACAAAGTCCTGGCTGGGATGATTTAGCTGGGAATTGGTCCTGCTTTGAGCAGGGGGTTGGACTAGATGACCTCTTGAGGTCCCTTCCAACTCTGATATTCTATGATTCTATTCTATGAACTCTCAGAACATTATCATACCTTGTATTTGAGCTACAGTACCTTTTTTTAAAAAAAGGACAGTCCTGATTGAAAGATTGAGAATCTACCACCTCACTAGATAAGTTGCTCGAATGATTAATTACACTCACTGTTAAAAATCGGAATCCAAAATTATTCGGTTTCTTCAAATAAGTGATAGCCACATAATGTAAAGCTCGGGGATAGTCGTGTGTGTGTGTGTGTGTGTGTACACAACAAAACTCCAGCCCCATCTCCACCTTGTGCCCCACCCAACTCCCCCTCCATATACCACCCTAACTCCCTCCCCGTTGCCCCATATAGAATCCCACAGCCCTCTGCTCCCCTTCCCTTTTGCCCCACCAACTCCTCCCTCCCGACACGCATCCCATCAATCTCTTCCCAGCCCCCCAATACCACCTCCACCCATCCACGTGTCCCACCAGCCCCTCCCTCTCACCAAGGGGCTCCAGGGACCGCGCACCCACCACGGCAGCTCTGGCAGCCATCCTTCCACCAGCAACACCCAGGGACCCCGCCAGACTGCTTCCGCTAACAACACCCGCGAGCGGCCACCCTCATTGGTTAGCACCTACAGACCCACCCTGCGCACCTCCGCCCTCCAATCATCAGTCACCTTCCGCCACACTTCGCGCTTATCGGCTCCTGGGCCCGCGTTCCGCCCCGCTCCCGAGCTCTCATTGGTTGCTCGTTATGGCGTTAAAATCAAGCGCAAGGGGGTGGGGTCGGCATCAACCACGCGCCTCTGGAGGAGGCGATCGCGCGGAGCTAAGACTCCGGGGCGCTTGTCTGGCAGCTGCTCATGTGTGTCTAGCTCAGCCTGTCTCGCGGGGCTCCCACCCTGTGTCCTTCCCCCTTGATCTGTGAAGTCTTCCGTTTCTGGCGGCGTCCCGGGGTGAAGGCATTTCTTCCCACACACGTTTAAACCTGTAGTATGAGACTCCAGATTTCAGTCAGTACAGTCACTAAATCAAAAGGGCTCCGAGAGGGACTTACTACTTACAAGATATATGCTACATGTAGGGGCTGTCGCCGAGCTCCGTTCTGCAGCAGAACAATTTCTTCATCTTGCTGTGGTGTGGCAGCATGGTGTTCTGGTCCTGCACTACACGTGCAACGCGACGCTGTGTCACAGTCAAATCACAGCGCCGTTTAATGCACCGCGAGGCATGTTGGTGTCACGAAGCTGCATCAGTGTCAAACCGATTTGGGGACCCTTAAAATATGTCACACCTGGCCTACAGGATATGCGGAAGACCTACCCAATTCAGTACAGTATTCCCCAAACCAAGATAGGTCAGAACCCTGGTTATCTCCTCGAAACTCTATGTCTAATATATGGAATAATCTGACATTAGATAGTCCTCGTGATGCAGGTTTTATAGGTGTTCCATTCGCAATTTGCTTTTAATATTACCATATTACCATGATCTCAACATAATTAATTTGAGATGATTTGTTCATATTGAAAATGAACTGATTGGTAAAACTGTAAAAGGCTGGCAGTGCTGGTTAATCTGCATCCCACAGTTTTGCATCATATTTAACTAAATCCCGGTTTAGTCAAACTAGATATAATATTTTGCAACCCCAGTCCTAGGTTTGCAATTATTGTGCAACATTATGTACTTGTTTATTGTTATTAATAAGAAGCGCTATACGTATATGGGTCAGATTCCTGTTTGGTCTTGCCATCTCCCTTCCCAATTATATAATTATTTGTGTTTATGTTATAGGAAGGATTACACACCTCCATAATCTCATGGTTATAAAACACCTGCATTGTGCAATTCAGGAAGGTTCTCTAATTCATTTTAAACCCATTTGGTCATTGGCTCAGATTGCTGATGAATTGTTACTTTCCCCATTTTTAGTTCAGAACTCTTTATTCTAACTGTGGCTAGGAGTCCTGTGTCCTCTGAAGTTTGTTATTCACTCTTGCTGAGTAAGAAGGATGAAATCACTTGTTCTTAAATCAGAAAGAACCCCAAGTAGATGCTCTGCTCTCTTTGGTAGAGACAGACTGGGATGTGAGTTTTTGTTGATGCTTCCTGTTGCCAAGTGAACAGGGGAAGCGAGTGAAGATGTGTCCTTGTCTTGATTCTTTCTATTTATTTTCCTCTCACAAGACTAACAAGCCTGGGAAGAAGCTCTCTGCCTAGCTTCCTGCCCTAGCCATCCACTTCATTTGATCCCACTATCTTTGCATACCAGATATCACCTTTGAATTCAAAGTCAATGAGATTAATTCAGTGAATAAAATTAAGCATGTGTGTAAATCTTGGAAAGATTGAGGTGTAAAATGACCAAAAAACAAAAACAAAAAGGGAAAGGTGTACAACATGTAAGCAGAGAGATGACAGATTCATGTTATGCTTTGTTCTGTGTGTTTATTTTTAATACGTAAATATGTTTTATTTCTGGTACAAACACTTAGTTTTAGGTTTTTGGGGTGAACACTCTGGTTGAAGATCAGGGAGAGAAAGGGAGTGTTCAAATAAGAAAGGGATCTCTGTGTGTATATATGTGTGGTTCTGTGAGGGCATCAGTCATTGGGTTTGTGTGGGGGTGTCAGCCACTGGGATCTATGTCAGGGATCGGCAACCTTTCAGAAGTGGTGTGCCGAGTCTTAATTTATTCACTCTAATTTAAGGTTTCACGTGCCAGTAATACATTTCAATGTTTTTAGAAGGTCTCTTTCTATAAGTCTATAATATATAACTAAACTATTGTTGTATGTAAATACGGTTTTTAAAATGTTTAAGAAGCTTCATTTAAAATTAAATTAAAATGCAGAGACCCTCGGACCAGTGGCCAGGACCCGGGCAGTGTGAGTGCCACTGAAAATCAGCTCGCATGGTGCCTTTGGCACGCGTGCCATAGGTTGCCTACCCCTGGTCTATGTGTATGGATATGTGTGGTTCTGTGTAGGTCAGTCTCTGGAGTGCTTGTATGGAGGATGTCAGTCACTGGGGTGGTTCTTTGTGGGTGTCAGTCAAGGTCTGTGTGTGTAGGAACGTGTGTGGTTGTGGTGAGGGTGTCAAGCACTGGTGTCTCTGTGTATCTGAATGTAAGTCGGTTTTTGGGTGTGTCAGTCTCTGGGGTCTGTGTGTAGCTGAATATATGTAGTTCTGGAGATGTCAGGCTATCAGTCTCTGGGGTGACTGAGGGGGGTGTCAGTCTCTGGGTCTGTGTACGTATGGGGTGGGGGGAAGAGGCTGTGAGGCGTTGCCTGTCTGTCTCCCCGCTGCGGGCTGCGCTGGGATGGAGGGGGTGCTTTGCGGGGTCACCGCGCCACCTGCCCGCGAGTAACGTCGCTCGCTGGCTTGGGCTCTCGGCTTCGCTCCCCCTGCTGGGCCTGGCCGAGCCGCCGAGGGGAGCCCGCTGCCGCGGCGGGATAGAACAGAGCCCTCCAGCGGCCACGGTCCGCTCCAGCCGGCGTCGCGCACCGCCAGCGGGGCCGTATTGGCGAACCGGGAAGTGGGCGGGCAGATTCCGGCCGCGGCCCCGCCCCTGCCTTGGCGGGAGAGTCCATGTTCCGAGAGATGGGGGGGGGGGAACTTGGAGGATTGGTCAGGCGCCAAGCCCTCTCCCCCGGCCTGGCCGGCGCCGTGTCCGCCCCTCTCGCCAGACTGCGGCCCTGGGCCGGCGCCGCCCACTCCGGAGCCGGGGGAGGAGGGTGATGTTCCCTTCCCCGCTCGCTGTGGTGCGGTCCCGGGGCGGGGCGGGGCGGAGTGGCAGCGGCGTGAGGCGCTGTCAGTGCCGGGTCCTGCAGCTCCGCGGAAGGAAGCGCCCAGAGCCCGCAGCATGGAGTCGCACCGCTGGCTGCCCCTGGAGGCCAATCCCGACGTGAGTGCTCGAGGCGGGGCGAAGGGAGCGACTGGGGGTAGGGGGAGTATGGGGAGTATGGGACGGGGCTGGGGGATTATTGGTGGAGTGACTGGGGGGGGGACTCGGAGACAATAGGGGGAAGGGGCTACGGGGTCAGGTGACAGGCGGGGGGTGATGAGGGAGGGAGGAGACAGTGACTGGGTGGGGGGCTGGAGCTATGGGGAGGGGATGATTATAGGGCACAGAGGGGACTTTGGTGGCTGTAACTGGGCTGGTGTGACAACTTACTCTTTTTTTCTGTTTTCTTTTCAGGTCATTAACCAGGTGAGCAGCTTTGTTTCATATAATAACCAGCTCCTTCCCCCCTCCACCACTCCCTTTACCATCACACCCAACTCCTCTCGCTTCCCTGTAATTAAAGGACCATACCCCCTTCACAGCCCCAACAAAGCCTGTTTTACCCCCACGTCCTTTTGGTGGGGCCTCCCATAGCCCATTTGAGCCTGGTGGAGTTTCTGAAGAAGTGCAAACATTTTATTTTGCTGTGTGACAGTCCTAAGAGTAAAAAAGAACAGGAGTACTTGTGGCACCTTAGAGACTAACACATTTATTTGAGCATAAGCTTTTGTGGGCTACAGCCCACTTCTTTGGATGCATCGAAAGAATGTAACCCATGAAAGCTTATGCTCAAATAAATGTGTTAGTCTCTAAGGTGCCACAAGTACTCCTGTTATTTTTGTGGATACAGACTAACACGGCTGCTACTCTGAAACCAGTCCGAAGAGTGCAAATAAGATAGGATTTTTTTAAAATGGGGAAGAAGTGAATTAATTATCAGGGTGTTTCCCACTGTTTATACATCAGTGTACATATTTGGGTCCTAATTCTGGGCTTGGTTGGATGTGCACTTCTGCATTAATGTAGAATCCAAGAGGTAGCGCATGCAGATCCAATTGCAGAACTGGAGACATAGTCAAGTTTTGCTCTGAAAAATGTATGTGAAAATGGCATTGTTTAAAAAATATATGTGTATCTTGCTTCTTATTCTGTCATATTTGCTCATTTTAGTGTTGGAAATAAGTTGTTGGTTAGGTTTTTTTACTCTGATTTCTCTTGCAGAACCAACACAGCTAAAGTGAGCTCTGTTCTACCTCATGCATCAGTAGAATGACTAGCTAAGTTCTGTTTGTAGGGCCACCGACGTAGCCCTTAGTTGCAGCTGTGAATTCTTTAATAAAAGCAATAGGCTTGCCAAAGGCAGCATTTGGCTTGTATACATCTTTTGCTACTAATGATTGTGTTTGATATAGAAAACATAGCTTGACTTTTGCAGAGCAGAATCACATTTTTAAAATTAGTGGGATGCTGAAGTCCTATTACTCTGTGAAATAATCCATTGTGTGCCCTGAGTTGATCATGTACCTTGCTCCTTATGTGTGTAGAATGTTTATTTTAAGAAATTCCATGATAATGAAGTTAATTTATTGGAAGACGCAGGACAAGGAAGGTGGCTATTAGATCATTTTTTCTGGTTATTTCCACTTTCCCTATTAATCAGTGTAATTCAGCAGTTTCTATGCCAATGCTTTAATTTCAGTGCAATGACTTGACAAAAATAGTTTTAAACTAAAATGTCTGAGACTGCACCAGGTGTTCTCTGCTTTTCCCCAGGCTTCTGGAATCTTACAACTTATGTTACAAAACCTGAAATAAACTACAAACTGGATATAGCTGGACTGAATAGTCCTTTTGACAGCCAAGTTAAGTATCTGGTTACTTTCCAGTTAGAAAGAAAAAGGTGAAAATGAGACAATAGAAGCTTAAAGTTTATTAATTTTTAACAACTCATAACTATAATAATCACAAGCAAAAATGAAAGAGAAACTTAACATGGTATAGCTTGGGACTAGCTAGCAGTGATAGGATGAAACTGAGGGGAAATTAGTGACATTTTTCAAAATGTAAGAATTATGCCATCTTGTTTTAAACACTTAATTTGGCTTTTGCACATTTAAAAAAAAAAACTAGCAATGTCTGAAAATGAATTTCTTCCATGTGAAGACTAACTAATGGAGACATCTGTTTTCCTTTGTAATCAACGGAAGAGCACTCAAATTGAACTTTCTTTTAGGAGTTTCAAAATTTAAAATATTGGTGGTATACATAGCTTTGTTTTAAACTACTTTGTTTTTGATTACTTCATAGGCAGGGGAGGTCTGTGAGGTATAAAGGATACATACTTTCCACTCGAAGTGCTCCTCTCCCTTTCTCTTAGCCAAGAAGGGAGGTTTACTTATCATTCATCTGCTCTTTATTCTAATTGAAACAAATTCATTAAGTAGGGAGGAATAACGAAAACAAGGTACAACTTGAATGTACCAATCTTATCTTGCATTATTAATCTTATTAGCTTGTTTTCAGGATTCCTGCTAGATAGATTTGCTTCATTTTTGATGAGTTTTGAGTTAGAATTAGGTGAGAAGGGGGAAAGAAAACTTTATTTTCATTAAGTGTGGTGATGGTGAAAGGGACTGTGTGCAGGAAGGTGAAAATGGTTAATAGGAATGTAGATTCTTGAGGGTTCATATCTACCATAACCTATAATTCTTGTAACTTATACATAAAAACATCTTACTTAAAATAAATTCTGCATTTACCAATACGCTAAGTACATATGGAATGTTTCCTAAAAAATGCTCAGAGCGACATGTTTTTCCCACTGAAACGAAAGCGAAGGAAGGTCTAGTCACTGGGTGAGTGGTAGCTTCTATGAAGTAAACTCAATCTATTTTCATAGAAATATTAATTTAGGATACACTTAATATTGTGGATACTGGTGTGTGTGTGTGTGTGTGTGTGTGTGTGTGTATATATATTTATATATATATAAATAAAAAAATTTGAATGTGTCTAATATTTGATAGAAAAGCGGGGTTTGAAAGCAATTATACTTAATATCAGGAGACTTCCAAATAACGAAATGAAATAACTGTGGAATACTTTTTATACAGAAGTGCTGGAATTCATACCATACTGGAAAAAATCACGAGATAATATAGTACATTGTCTAACCCTACATTGGCAGAGAAATGGACTAGATGACTTAACTATTCAGAAGGTTAGAAATGAAAAAATACATAAGTTGCATTTGCAAAGACTGTAGAATTTTTTTTTAATCTGATTTTCAGCCTAATGACTGAAAGAACTGAACAGATCATTTAATTTGTTAGGCACGCTGGATTTTCTAGATAGAATTGTGTTGTTCACACAGCAATCTGGTGCTAATTAATTGTTCATTTCTTAGAACACAAATATTTTCCTTGCTTTCTCTATTTCAGTTTTCCATATTTCAATGAACTAATTCAAATAAAGAAAACATTGTGTGCATCTTTAGAAGATGCAGCTTTAGATAAATTAGATTTACTGCTTAAACAGTTTCTGCAGCTCTGTGTCTGGAATTCTCACCTGTTCAGTGGTTGAAGTTTATTTACAATTTGTATAGCAAACCTGCATTCTTAGAACAATTCAGCTCCACCTCTGAAACTGATCATGAATGGCATGATTAGTAGATACCCCCCCATAGTAGCATCTTCTTTTTTACGAATATAACTCTGTACAAGAATAGGGTGTTACCCATGTAATTGGACAGCAATTAATCATATGCTGCTTACCTAAAATTCCTTTTCAGTTTCAAATAAAGTTGAATTTTACTTTTTTAAAGGCTGGGGGAATTCAGAACCCAACCTGGTTAATTATTGCTGCGGAGCGACTCATGTTATTCCATAGGATGTAAGGATGAGAATGCTTGTAGGCAGCCATAAACTTCGTAAAGTGCCCTGTGATCCTTCAGAATGATAGATATTTTATGTCTATAAATATAATCAATGCCAAAAATGTACACCATATTTATATAATTATTGAAATCTATAGGCATAAATTTAAAGGACACTACTCAGTTACTAGAATATTTTTGGAACACACTGTTGTGTGGTTTTGTTTAACTTTAATGCTGTTGCTTACATAAGTGGTTAAGCAATTTAATAATGTCCATTAAATCGGAAGAATAACATTCACTTAATTTTACCATAATGTAAAAATAAAGAATCTGCACACTTTAAGCAAAGCCATGTTTTTGCTTTAACAAGTTTTGAGGAGGTGTTGGTAATCATTTTAACCAATCGAAATTCATTTCAATAAGTAACTAAAAAGAGAGAAATCTGTTAAATCAAGGTAATTTCAATCACTTTTAAAATAAATCCATCCTTGCTTTATACTCCACTTAATATCGCTTTCTCAGTGCCTTGTAAATCAGAGGTATTTTGTCGTGTGAATTAAACTATTGAGACTGTTACAGATGAACATGTCACATTTACAGGCTATGGGATCCAACATAATGACTGTCAATTTCTCCTCTCGTATGGACAGGTTGCTGCACTGTGCAGTTTGTGAAAACGTTGTATTATAGCGGTGTTAGGAGCTACCAGTTTCTGAAATGCTTGTTTAAATTGACATCTTGTTCCTTGCACTATCTATAATGTGTAGGTATTGGATTATCTATTTAAAAGATTGGAGATCAGATGGTAGGAGGTACCTTCTTTGGCTTTGAAGATATATTCCATAACGCCAATCACCTGATGGCATATCACCACCAACTAGCGCTATACTTCAGAGATGCAATTCAGTACAATTAGAGCTCTGTGCTTACATTGCTGGACCTCTCTAAAGCCTTTACCACAATGGACCACAAGTTACTGCTAACCCACTTATATGTCATATCAGGAATAGATGGCCCAGCACTACAGTGGCTCCACTTGTACTTCTCTAGCAGAACTTGGAGACTGGTGATGAGGTAATCCTCCCCTCTGAAAGCCCTCACCTGCAAGATCCAATATGGATCTATACTATCCTTGCTTCTCTTAATATCTGCGTGAGACCTGTGGCAAAGATTACACATCCTGGGCTCAGCTGCCAAAGCTATGCTGATGACACTACTCAAAGTTGATGACATTGTACTCAGTAGTTATCAATAAATGGTTGACTGTCAAACTTGGAGGATGTATAAAGTGGGATCCTGCAGGGATCTGTCCTGGGTCCTGTACTAGTCAATATTTTCATTAATGATTTTGATAATGGAGGAGAATATACTTCTAAAACATGCAGATAATACCAAGTTAGGTGTTGAAAGCACTTTGAATTCTCATCCTGTCGTCCACAATGTTCTTGGAAAATTGGAGAATTGATCTGAAATCAATAAGATGAAATTCAGCATAGACAAGTGTAAAGTACTGCGTTTATGAAGGAAAAATCAAATGCAAAAACCGTCT